CCTCACCCCGGTGCAGGGCACCCCTCACCCCGGTGCCGTGCCTGCCCGGTGCCGGGCGCTGGCTGCGGCCGCTAATCCGTGGCCCGTTGTGTAACCGCCATCTGCCACGGGAGCAGGAGGCGCCGCTTAATTACACCCTGATTGCCCCCCCGCTAATGAGCTGGGGGGGCCGGGGGGCTCCGGGGACCCCCGGGGGGCTGCGCGGGGGGGACCCGCTGCCTGTCCCTGAACCCCCCGTGCCAGGGCTGTCCCGGGGGCCCCCGGCAGCTGGCATCAGACAGAACCGCCCTGGCACATCTGCCCACGCCCCCCGAGCCCCCCCGAACCCCCCCCGGCCCCGCACCTGCCCGCACACGTGAGGGAGCCCCTGGGGGACCCCCGTTCCCACCGGGAGCTCCCGACCCTGCTGCCGGGGCTCCAGGTGCTCCTCGCACCGGTGCTGGAGCAGCTGCGGGACCCTCGGTGGGGTGGGGGGACCCCTCTGGAGCGGAGGACCCCCTTCACTCCGCTCCCCCCCCGGCACCCCCTGTTCCTCACGGAGCCTCTTCGTTGCCTTGGCCGTGGTTAAATGCGCCGCCAGCGATGCCCCGGTCCCTCCTGCCCCCGCCGTCGCCACGAGGGGACACGGTCGCCGTCACCGGGGCGGGCTCTGCCCCCGGCACTGGGGAGGGGGTCTCGGGGTGCCCCGGCTGTGCCGGGGGGAGCACCCGGCATCTGCTCGGAATGGGATGGGGGTCCTCCCCGCGGTGGGCAGAGCCGAGGACAGGGACACGGGGGACATGGGAACGGGGGCTCAGAGGTGTCCCTGGCTCGGGCACGGCGACCCCCGGTCCGGTGGCAGAGGGGAACGGCGTGTCCCGGCAGCGGCACCGTGACTCACCCGCGGGGCTGGAGCCAAGCGCCCGGGAAGGTCACCACGCCCTGGGTGACAGTGACAGGGCCTGGCATGGCCGGGGTGGCCGTGGCATCCCCATGGCTCAGGAACTCCTGGGGACCCCCGTCTCGTTCCGGCGGGGACCCCTGGAGGGGACAGGATGGGGCTGGGAGACCCCAGACCCACTCAGGGTGGTGGGCCTGGTGGTGCCACCAGGCAGGGGGTGTCACCTGTCACCAGGCAGGGGGTGTCACCTGTCACCAGGCAGGGGGTGTCACCGGCACGTCACTGGCTGTCGGTGGTGGGCTGGGGACCCCGGGGACCCCCCGGTCCCTCTGGCACCCACTGCGTGGGTGCGGGCGCTGCCCCCCAGATCACCCTTCGACCAGGCTGGGGGTGCCCGGGGGGGCCGGGCGGGCCAGTGGGGCACTACCAGGGCTGGGCAGTGGCCAGGGACACCGGCGGACACGGGGACACCAGGAACCGTGAATCAGCCGAGGCTGCCACGGCCAGCTCAGCACCACCGTCACTGTCCCGTCCCCACCGTCACTGTCCCCGTCCCCACCGTCACTGTCCCGTCCCCACCGTCACTGTCCCGTCCCCACCGCCGCTGTCCCCGTCCCCACCGTCACTGTCCCCGTCCCCACCGTCACTGTCCCGTCCCCACCGCCGCTGTCCCGTCCCCACCGCTGACGGGGCGTGCGGGTCACGCGTTGGGGATCCCTTGGGACGCGCGGGGCTGCAGGTGACATCTGGCAGTGGGGCTGGCAGAGGGTGACCGTGGGGCAGGCAGGGGGCACAGCGGTTCCGAGGTACCCCTGTGCCCCGCCTCGCCCGGGTCAACCCCCGTCGTGCCTCAGTTTCCCCGCGGGGCCGTTCCCGGGCGCTCCCGGTCCCTCCCCCGGGGAGTGGCGGCGGCTGGAGCCGGGGAGGGGAGATCGGGGGGGCCCGGCGGGGGGGGGGCGGCGGGGAGGGCTCGGGGGGTCCCGCCCCGCTCCATCTGCCGCGCGGGGCCGGGGGCGGCGGGGGGGCGCGGGGACCCCCGAGCGCGGCCATGGCCCCGGCGCGGCGAGACAGCGGCGACCGCTCCGACGGGGAGCGGCGGGACCGGGTCCGCAGGGCCGTCCGGGTGTCCAGCCTGGTGGCACAGGAGGTACGGGGGGGCCGGGGGATCCCGGCAGAAGGGGACCCGTGGTTCGTCGCGTTGCGCGTGGGCGCGGGGTCCCGGGGGTGTCCCCCTGCCAGGATTGCAGGGATGGAGCAGGGGAGGCACCGGGGGTCGCGGCGGGCGGCTCTGGGGGGCACCGGGAGTTCCGAGGGAGTCTCCCTTGAGGGGGAAATGGGCTCCTGCAATTTGTCTTGCCGCGCGTGGGCGTGGGGTGCCGGGACTGTCCCTGGGGTGTCCCCACGCTGGGATATGGGACACGAAGAGAGGGGGCACCGGGGGTTGTGGCAGGGGTGTTTTGGAGAGTTTGGGGGTCTCGGGATTTTCGGGGGGTCTCCCCCCCGGCAGGAAAAGGGACCTGCATGCCACTCGTCCTGCCATGCGTGGGTGCCGGGTCTCAGCAATGCCAACGCGCTGGGAGGGGGGACACTGAGCAGGGGCTGGCACCAGGAGTTGCAGCAGGCATCTCTGGAAGGCTGCGAGGGCACCTGGGGAGCCCGGGGGCTCCGGGGGGTCCCCCCTGCTTGAGGAAGGGGGTCCCGTGGCTTGTCCTGCTGTGAGTGGGTGTGGGGTCCCAGGGATGCCCCCACACTAAGGTGGGAAGAGCATCAGGGGTTGTGGTGTCTCTGGGGGTCTGGCAGGGTTTGGGGCTCTCCCAGTGCCCCCCGGGGTTGGGGGTGCATCACCCCCCACGGGCACCCTACAACCAGGGTTGGGGAGCATCACCCACCCCGGGCCCCCCCATGACCAACCTTGGGGGGCATCACCCACTCCAAGCCCCCGTGTCCACCCAGTGCCATGACTGGGCCCAGTGCTGTGTCCAGCTGTGCCACGGTGGCCGTGGCTGTGACGTGGGGAGGGGTGATGGCACATGGCTGTTGAGGTCCCCACTGTGTCCCCAGGTGGTCCCTTACATACCCAGGTGGTCCGTGCCATGTCTCAGGTGATCCTCACTGTCTCCCTCGGTGGTCCCCACTGTGTCCCAGGTGGTCTCTGCCATGTCTCAGGTGGTCCTCACTGTGTCCCAGGTGGTCTCTGCCGTGTCCCAGGTGGTCCTCACTGTGTCCCAGGTGGTCCCATGGCTGTCCCCTCGCCAGTGGCCCGTGGCCGTGGGGCGGGTGTGGGTCAGTGCCAGCGTCACGGGGTGGGGGTCGGTGCTGGGGCGGGTGCACCGCCCTCTGGGACGTCACCCCCTCCCCTGGGGACGTCACCCTGTCAGAGGGCTCATCCCCCACCCTGCCACGGGTGCCACCCGCAGTGGTGCCGCTGTCGCCGCCTGCCCGGGGCGGCCGCGTGTCCCCCGTGCCCATGTCGGGGGGTCCCGAGGGCACCGCGACGCCGCAGATCAGCGACGTGAGTACCCCCAGTGCCACCCCCCGGGGACAGCGGGGCGGGGGGTCACCACTGTCAGGGGGTCACCACAGTTGGGGTGTCCTCAGTGTCGGAGGGTCCCCACAGCGTTGGAGTGTCGGTGCTATTGGGGTGTCCCCTGAGTCAGGGTGTCTGCACTATTGGGGTGTCCCCTGCATTGGGGTGTCCCCTGAGTCAGGGTGTCTGCACTACTGGGGTGTTCTTGGCGGTGTCCCCTACATTGGGGTGTCCTTGGCATTGGGGCGTCCCCTGAGTCAGGGTGTCTGCACTATTGGGGTGTCCCCTACATTGGGGTGTCCTTGGCATTGGGGTGTCCTTGGCCATTGGGGTGTCCCCTGAGTCAGGGTGTCGGTGCTATTGGGGTGTCCCCTACACTGGGGTGTCCTCACCAGGGCCAGGTGTCACTGCAGCCAGGTGTCACCTGGCCGGTGATCAGTGCCAGTGGTGACCACGTTGGGTGACACCTGCGGGGTCACGAGGTGTCATGGGGGTCGGTGTCTGTCTGGCCATGGGTGTCCCCAAGGGTCTCCCCTGGCCCCCCCAGGTCGGTGATGCAGGTGGGTGTTAGTGTTCAGGTGTGTGGGGTCCAGAGGGTCTGGGAACCTGCTGGGGTGGCTGGGTGGGTGCAAGGGCCTGTGTCAGTGCTGCTGTGGGGCACCTGGGCAGATGTGGGGCACCTGGGCAGGTGTGGGGTACCTGGGCAGGTGTGGGGCACCTGCCAGGGCAAGTGTTGGGTGCCCATGTGGGTGTTGGGGTCTCTGAATACTGGGTACCTGCTGGTGCAGGAGTTGGGGGGCTGTGGCTGTCAGGGACCCACTGGTGCTGGTGTGGGGTACCTGGGCAGGTGTGGGGTACCTGGGCAGGTGTGGGGCATCTGGGCAGGGGGGCAGCTGCCAGTGCAGGTGTAGCTGTGGATGTTGAGGGTCCGTGGGGCAAGTGTCAGGTACCGGGGCAGGTGTTGGGGGTCTGGTTTGGGGTCACCTGCCAGAGTGGGTGTTGGGGGGTCCAGGGGGTCCCCGCTGCGTTGGGGCCGGGCGGTTCTGCCGTGGGGGTGCCAGGGGGTGTTGGGGTGCTGGGGGGTGCCAGGGGGTTGTTGGTGCCCTCGGGAGTGCCCGACGGGGGTGTGTCGGTGCCCCGGGGGGTAAGTCAGGATGCCGGGGGGTGTGTGTGTGGCTGCCCCAGGGGGTGTCGGTGCCCCCCGTCCCCGCGCGGGGTGTGTGGGGTATTTGGGGTGCCCCGTGGGCGCGGGTGTCTGGGTCGCGGCAGGTGCGGTGCCGGGTGTCCCGGGGGGGCGGGGGGTGTCGGTGCCACCGCAGGTGTCGGGGACGCGTCACCGGGGCGGGACGTGTCACCGCGTGTCGCCGAACGTGTCACCGGCACCGCCGCCATCTGTGTCACCGTGAGTGACGGGTGTCGGGGCGGGGGGAGCGCCGGGGGGGGTCAGGATGTCTCTGCGTATCGGCCCCGTCCTGACACACGCACTCGGGGTGGGGGTCCCACTTGTGTCGAGGGGTCCCCAGCCCCTCATCATGCACCCCTGAACCCTGCGTGGCACGGGCGGGGGGGACTGTCCCCGTGGCTGGGGGACATGGGAGGGCTGGGGACTGTCCCCAGACTAGGGGGGCTGGGAGCTTGTCCCCACCTTGGTGGGCTGGGGGTCCCCCGGCTGGGGCTCGTGGGACACTCGAGGGGTCCCCGGCTGTGTGTGCAGGGGGGTTGGCTCAGGGAGGGGTTACCAGGACTATGTGCCCCCCCGGCTGTGCCCCCCGGGGGTGGCATGGGCCTGCCCTGAGGGGGTTAACCAAGGGCTGGGGTCGGGGGTGTGTTTTGGGAGGCTGTGGCTGGGTCGGGGTCCTGCTCCTTCTGCCCCCCATCCATCACTTCCCGGCTGCCTGCAGGGCCAGAGGGTCCCCAAATGGGGGTCCCCGGGGGGTGTCCAGGTGGGATGTGGGCGCCACCCCCCCACCTCACCCGTGGGGGCCACATGGTTCAGGGAAGGGGCCGGTGGTGCCCAGTGGGGGGGTCCCAGGTGTTCCGGGGTCTCCCCCGGTGCACAGCAGGACCCCCCACCCCACCTTGAGGGTTTCTGCAGGCCCCGGGCCCCCCACTGCCGCCCCCCCTCGCCCTCCCCTTTGCCGCGGGCCGGGATTTGTCCCATTTTGCCGTGGCAGCTGCGATAAATTTAGCGGCAGGAGCTGCTGGTGGCTGGAGCCGCCCCCCCCGCCCCCCGACCTCCCTCCCTGCTGTCTCCCCTGTTCCCCCCCCGGTCCCTGCCCCCATCACACCTCAGCCACCCGGCACAGCCACGGCCAAAGGGGCTCAGCAGCTCCGGGGTCGGGGTGTCCCCCCCACCCCTCCCCTTCCCTGCTGTCCCCCAGCACCCCACCCACACTCACACCGTAGGTGGGGGGACCACGAGGAACTCTGGAGTTGGGGTGTCCCCCCCGACCCCCCGTGACACCCCCTCCCCTGCTGTCCCCCCTTCCCTCCCTGTCCCCCCTCACATGGCAGCCAAAGGGGCCATCTGGGGCTCGGGGATTGGGGTTTCTTCTGCAGGACACTCCCAGGGACTGCCCCTGTCCCCCCCAGGGACCCCCGTGCTGTCTGGGGCACTGGAGCCCGGGGGGCTGTGGCCCACAGTACCTGTTACCCCCCGTGTCCCCAGGGTCCCCTGACCTCACATGACCCCGTGACACCTGCCACCCCCCTGGGGGACATATTTGGGACACGTGGTGGGTGTTGGTGCTCAGCACCTCAGGAAGGGATGTGGGAACTGGGACCACCCCACACCCAGGCCACACGTGGCCTCGTCCCTCCGTCACGGCGCGTGGGGGATCCCCCGCGTGGGGGTGGCAGCGGGTGACGCAGGAGCTGCTGCGTGTCCCTGAGCTGTCACCCTGTGTCCCAGTGCTGTCATCACATGTCACCGCATGTCCCAGCACCGTCACTGTGTGTCCCAGTGCTGTCACTGTGTGTCCTGGTGTCATCACTGCATGTCCCTGTCACCGTGTCACTGTGTGTCCCGGTGCCATCACCGCATGTCACCGCATGTCCTGGTGCCATCACCGCGTGTCCCTGGCACTGTGTGTCACTGCGTGTCCCAGTGCCATCACCTTTTGCCCCACTGCTGTCACCACATGTCCCGTTGTCACGCGGCTGTCCCCGCAGTGACACGGCTGTACCCGCTGCCCCCTGAGGCCACCGAGGCTCCTGGGGACAGAAGTGACAGGGCCCCCCTGCACCCCCAGGGACATCCCCTGGCCCTGTGACCCAGGGGAGGATGGTGGCAGCAGGGGACACGTTTGGGCTGAGCTGGCAGGACAGGAAGCATGTCCTGACCCGTGGGCACCACACAGGTGGGACATTTTCCTGGCATGTTCCTGGTGTGTTCCCGGTGTGTTCATAGTATGTTCGTGCCCCATGGCACCTGCTCCCCACCACAGGGCTGATTGTATCCCCTCCACGCCAAAAACAGGTGTGGGCTGTTCCTAACGTGTTCCTGGCGTGTTCCTGGAGTGTTCCTGGCGTGCTCCTGGTGTGTGTGTGCCCCGTGCTCCCTGCAGGGCTGGCTGTGTGCCCCCCACGCTGGCGCAGGTGTGGGATGTCCCTGGCGTGTTCCTGACGTGTTCCTGTGATGTTTGTGGCGTGTGTGTGCCCCGTCACACCCTGCTCACTGCCACGGGGCTGGCCTTGTCCCCCTCGGTGCCACTGGGGTGCCTGGGGGGGGTTGTGACATGTCCCACCTCGAACCACATCGCCCGTGGGCACCCCCAGCCTCGCCGGTGTCACCGCCGTGTCACCGCCGCACGCTGACCCCTCCGGCGTGTCACCGCGTGTCACCATGTGCCGGGGGGGTCTGAGGGGGGGCTGACAGGGGGACTGGGGGGGGGCAACCCTGGCCGTGGCGGCGGCAGCGGAGCAGCCTGGGAAAAATTTCCGCCCCAATAATTCCTGTCGGCTCCGGCGGAGCGTGCCCGGCGCGCGCCACACCGGGGTCCCTGCCACACCGGGGTCCCTGCCACACCGGGGTCCCTGCCACGCTGGGGGGCCCTGCCATGCCGTGGGGCATCGCTGCCACTGAGGGCCCCCCCTGCCCCTGAGGGTCCCCGCTGCTGCCGGGGGTCCCTGGGCACTGCGATGGGCACAGGGCCGGGCCACGGGGGTCCCCGGTGCCCACGGGCCGGCGGGAGCTGACCCCCACTGCCCCCCCACCCCGAGGATGCTACCCGCGCTCCTGCAGCTGCTCCAGGAGTTCCCGGGCACACCCCCCGCACCCCCCCGGTCCGGGCCCCCCCCCGGCCCCAGCTCCATGCCCGGGGTCCCCCTCTGTGGCAGCTGCCTGGGGCTGCGCCGCGATGGCACTGGGCACGGACAGGAGGAGAAGGTACCGGTACTGCACCCCGGGGGTCTGGCGCTGGGGGGGGTGGTGCTGCACGGGGGGGGCACTGTGCCCACCGTGACCCGGCGGTGGCCACACGAGGCTCCGGCTGCGTCCCCGGCGTTGGTCTGGGAAGGTTTGGGGCTTACAAAGAGCCCTGGCCCTGCATGACCGGGGATCCCCAGGAGACCCCCCAGCTCCCCAGCGGTGTCCCCGGGGTTGGGGGCCGATTGGGTGCAGGGTGATGGTGCCCGTTCCCTTCCCTGCTGTGCCACAGTGGGTGGGAACCCCGCGGTGGGCGTGGGCAGGGTGGGGGGGCAGAAGTGGGGTAAGGGGACCCCAGTGGGGAGCAGGGGGACTGTGACCGCTGTGGGGCACAGGGCAGGGGGCTGTGGGTCACCCCCTGTCATCTCTCACCTGAACCGTGGGGCTGCACATGGTGACGGTCTCTGTGGTGGCAGGGAGGGGAGGGACCCCCCAGGGACTCCCCAGAATGCCCAGGGACTCCTGGGGTCACACCCAAAGGCTGTGCCAGGTGTCCTGCACAGGGAATGGGAGGCACAGGGGGTCTGCCTCCAGTGGAGATGGTGAGGGTGGCTGGGGGGGTTCATGTTCTCCTGATGGAGATGCTGGGGGGGTCTGTGTCCCCCCCAGATGGAGATGGGGGGGGGGGGGCAGGTTGGGGGGCAGGGGGGGGAGCACAGGGTGAGGGGCACAGGGCAGCGTCGTGTCTGCGGGTGTTTGGGGTGGGAAGTGCCCCAACGGTGTCTGTGGGGCAGAAGGGGTTTGTGGGGTGACTCGGTGTTGGGGGAGGCCTTTGTCCCAGCTGTGCCCTCCAGCCATTCCCCTTCACCCCACGTCACCCATGTCAGGGCCCCCGTGCACCCCTCGTGGCTCACACCGGGGTCCCTCTGCACTGGGGTCCCTCTGCACCCCGGGGAGTTACAAAACTGGTAATTTTAGCACCATCGTGCCCAATGTTGACCCAGCGTGGCCAGGGCCACCCCTGACCCACATCTCCAAGTGCCACCTGTACCCGGGCCGGGGAGCCGAGCCCTGTGGGGTGTTGGGGTGCAGCACTGACCCCCCCGTGCCCCCAGGTGCTGTCGCTGGGCGCCGACGTGCTCCCCGAGTACAAGCTGCAGGCGCCGCGCATCCACCGCTGGACCATCCTGCACTACAGCCCCTTCAAGGCGGTGTGGGACTGGCTGATCCTGCTGCTCGTCATCTACACGGCCATCTTCACGCCCTACTCGGCCGCCTTCCTGCTCAGCGACTCCGAGGAGGCCCAGCGGCACCACTGCGGCTACTCCTGCAGCCCCCTCAACGTGGTGGATCTCATCGTGGACATCATGTTCATCATCGACATCCTCATCAACTTCCGCACCACCTACGTCAACTCCAACGAGGAGGTGGTCAGCCACCCCGCCAAGATCGCCATCCACTACTTCAAGGGCTGGTTCCTCATCGACATGGTGGCCGCCATCCCCTTCGACCTGCTCATCTTCGGCTCCGGCTCCGAGGAGGTGACGGACGTGGGGACGTGGTGGCACCGGCTGGACCGTGCCCTGGCTGGGCCATGCCCTGGCTGGGCGGTGCTGTTTTGGTGCTGGGGGGTTGCATTTGGAGGTCCTACCTGTACCCCCAGGCCAGGGAAGGGTGCCAGGTCCTCCCAGGGGCTGGTGCTTGGGGGTCCCACGTGTGCCCCCAGCCCAGGACACCCTCATGCCCCCTGTCCTGCTCTGCAAACCACCTTTGCTCTGGGCTGGGGCACTGGGGGCACCTGGGGTTCTTGTGGAGAGAGGGGACAGGGATCCTGCTTTGGGGCAGGGACCCAGGGCGCCCTTTGCCCTTCCAGGGATCTGTGGGGGTTCTTTGCCACCACTGTCCCCTTTCCTCCCTCTCCAGACCACCTTTGCCCTGGGGGGCACCTGAGGCTCCCTCTGTTGGAGAGGGACTTACAGAATGGAGGTGCCTGGCTGGGGGCAGAGACCCCTGGTGTTTTGGTGGTTCTGTGGGGTGTCTCTCCACCGTTGTCCCCCCGAACGATGACACTGATGGGGCTGCTGGTGTGGGTGGGATGGCCCAGCCTTCTGGGTGCCCATGGAGTATCTCCCCCCCCTTAACCCCCTTTCCCCCCACACCCCCGAGATGATGCCTGATCAGGCTGCTGATGTGGGGAGAGGGGATGGGGGGCCGGAGGTGCCCGGCTTAGGTCAGGGACCCCCCTCGCCCTTCCAGGTGCCCGTGGGGTCTCTCTCCCCCCGCTGACCCCCTCTTCCCCCCCAGACGACGACGCTGATCGGGCTGCTGAAGACGGCGCGGCTGCTGCGGCTGGTGCGGGTGGCGCGGAAGCTGGACCGGTACTCGGAGTACGGGGCGGCCGTGCTCTTCCTGCTCATGTGCACCTTCGCCCTCATCGCCCACTGGCTCGCCTGCATCTGGTACGCCATCGGCAACGTGGAGGGGCAGAGCACGGGCTGGCTGCACGCCCTGGGCCAGCAGATCGGCAAACCCCTCAACAGCAGCGACCCCCGGCGAGGGCCCTCCATCAAGGACAAGTACGTCACCGCCCTCTACTTCACCTTCAGCAGCCTCACCAGCGTCGGCTTCGGCAACGTGTCCCCCAACACCAACTCCGAGAAGATCTTCTCCATCTGCGTCATGTTGATTGGATGTGAGTGACCGGGGGGTGTGAGAGCACCTCTGGGTGTGAGAGCACCTCTGGGTGGGTGTGAGAGCACCTCTGGGTGTGAGAGCACCTCTGGGTGGGTGTGAGAGCACACCTGTATGTGTGTGTGTGTGTGCACACCTGTGTGTGTGTGTGTGTGTGTGTGTGCACACCTGTATGTGTGTGTGAGAGCACCTCTGGGTGGGTGTGAGAGCACCTCTGGGTGTGAGAGCAGCTCTGGGTGGGTGTGAGAGCACACCTGTATGTGTGTGTGTGTGTGTGCACACCTGTATGTGTGTGTGAGAGCACACCTCTATGTGTGTGCATACCTGTACACGTGTGCTCACCTGTGTGTGTGTGTGTAAGAGCACACCTGTGTGTGTGTACATACCTGCACACGTGTGCTCACCTGTGTGTGTGACACCTTCCCCGATGCTCCATCCGAGGGGACCAAGGGCACCTCGGCCCGTCCACAGGTGACACCCGTGGGTAGGATGTGGCTCTGCTGGGGCAGGAGGCTCCACAGAGGGATCCAGACAGGTGGGATCCATGGGCTGGGGGCACCTGCATGAGGATCAGGCAGGCCAAGTGCCAGGTCCTGCTCTGGGGTCACACCAGCCCCATGGAACACTCCAGATGTGGGGCGGAGTGGCTGGAAAGGTGGAAAAACCCCGGAGGTGCTGGTGGCAGAGGCTGGACATGAGCCCAGGTGGGCAAGAGTGGGCACCTGGCTTGTGTCACCATAGTGTGACCAGGACAGTGACCATCTCCTGTGCTGGGCACCACCTGGAATCCTGGGGGCAGTTCTGGGCCCCTCACAACAGGACACTGAGGGGCTGGAGCGTGTCCAGGGAAGGGAATGGAGCTGGGAAGGGGCTGGAGCAGCAGGAGCAGCTGAGGGAGCTGGGGGGGCTCAACCTGGAGCAAAGGAGGCTCA